TTTTTTTTTTTTTTTTCTCTCTGCCGGTTTTGTCTCTGTTCTCTCAATGCCTTAGTCCCAGAGAAAGAGAATGGACTAGATAAAGTCAAAAGAATTGCTAACTATGGCCAAATTGCAAGATTAAGTCCCCATCTTCTTGCCATACTCTATTTAGCCATTTCATTTCTAATAACATATACTAACTCCCTAAATTCCTACATATATTATTACTACCCCTTCAAGTATTAGTGATTACCAATTAGACCCCGCAAGAAATCTTTTATTCAATTTAATTCTAATTTGACATTGACTTTGACTATAAAAGGGATGAGGTATAACAAACATCTATTGCAGTATGTCCCAATTAAACAATTTTAATCAATCTGGGATACAATAAATAAGAGAGCGAAACTAAAGTTGAAGTTCATTGATCCAATAAAATTATATAAAGTTAGTAATATAATTGAAACAAATTAAATTTTAATAAATAACTTGAAAACTCAATATCCAATCATTCGTCAACTGGACACATTTTGATCGCAATACTGTTTGTAGGGAAAGTAAGTAAAGGCGGATAAAATAGCACAAGAAAGAGCAACACAATAGAATGAAAATAAATAATAAAGACAAGTCGATAGTCGAACAACTTTCCAAACGAAAACTTGAATATTACTTGAGCTCTATTTGAATGTTAAAATTATAGCTGATTGCTTAATTTATAAATGGTTTGTATACAAATAAACAAGATGTAGTACTCTTCACCGAAAAAGACGACGTAGCATAAATCCTTATATAACCGATAGATAACATTGAAAGTACTCTTTCTAGACATATATTGAATAATACTAAATCATTCACCCTAATGTTTGCATGTAAGGAACAAATTCTATCTAAGTAACTAAGAAAATTAATCGATAGATTGGCTCAAATGAAATTACAGCATCCACCTATTGAACAATTTGCGGTGGGTATTAATATTTCGTCAACATTACATAATCAGCGAAGTTTAAGTTCTTAGAAAAAGTGCAAAAATGGCATTCTTTGATAGAAGATCTTCACATTCTGTCCTAAAGTATAGATCGAGCAACATCGCTATCAAATTTACTCAATCCAGTCCGCTGAAACTGCCTATTGGATGAGTCACCTAAAGGAAAATCGACTATACGATGATCCAATTGCGGTAAGAGATCATCAAGATCGATCCATTCTGTTGGAGGAGAAGGAAAATCCAAGTACTCTGTGGAAGCTAAAAAATTGCTTTCCCCGAGCGTCCCACATCGCCTTGCACGTGTGTAATTCGTTGACTGGGTGGAATTGGCGAAGACTGTAATTGGGCATTAGATGAGATGCCAAAAAAGGAATCCAGTGTAGGATAGTTGTTTCAATTTTATGGATACCGGATTTACAATTTATAACTTGATGCAAAATATCTTAAACACGATATTTACAACAGTTACCGTATTTGCACATTAGAACAGATTAAATTATATAACAAGTAATTGCAGTAAACAATTAAAAGATAGCTGCAGAACAGTAATATGCAAAACGATCAACAATAAGTTATTAAAACAAACTGTTAAAGAAAAAACTTTTAACCCGAGGCCTGTGTTACACACAGTTTCCTTAAAACAGATTCGCCCCCTCACCGTACATGCTTGAGGTATGATGCGAGCGTCTGTCTCCCAGGATACAACGGAGAAACCAGTCAAATTCGAGCACAACAGATTCTACTGTAACGAAATGAACAAGTGTTTGAAAAATACACCACAGACTCGAACAGAAACAGAAAATGCAGGAAAACAGAAACTATATACATATGAAAATTAGTGTACTGAACTGTGGAAAAATGAGACACATATAAAGACTGGCTGCCCATTAATTTCATAACAATTAAAATATGAGTTTCAATAGTTTTGGAAAACCAAAAGTCTGTTGAAAATTAACAAAAACGTAGCAAAACGTGGACACTCCTAAGGGGCCAATTTTGCTCCTTTTGGTCCGACATTCGTATACGCAGGTCGAGCCCGCACACAAGTTCAAAGTCCAAAGCCTATTTCGGTCCAAAATTTGCACCCCCTACGCGCGCACGTGGAGAGAGCCTCTATGCTACACATGATTACACCATTTTAAAGTGTAATCCTTTATAAAGTGGTTTTAGTTTTCATCCATTTCCTATATGGGACAAACCTTATTTTTAGTTTTCCCACCAACATAAACTCCTTTTACATGGTATATTTTGAATTTCAATTTCTCATTCACCCGAACATCATTTTTGACAAGTAAGTATATGATTTCGATGTATTCACGGATGAGAATACAAATCGACTTTCATCTTTCAAAATAGCCAAGCGGGTCCCACTCAAAATTAGCACCAAATCAGCCCACAACTCAGTTTATTTCCAGTTTTTTCCAACATCCAGTATACTAGTGGTTGTTAGATCCAAGTAACCACTATTATCAGCTGCAAATCTACTTGTCCCCGCATCACCGTTCATGTGTAACAGGTTGATACCAATCATTGCTTTGCATACCAGGCTCAGGTGGAAACAGAGGATTATACAGACTAACATTGCTTTGATCACCAGGAATGTGTGCAAGAGGTTGAGGAGATGGAAGAATATTACTTTGCATTGCCATACGTCCATGCATGTACTTAACAGGCTCATGAACCGACGGATATTGATTATTTATTCTTGCTTGAGCATAAGCACCTTGCAAGGACGACTGATCAAGTGCCGGGACATGATTTTGATAAGATGACGACGCTGCCCAATTTGCATCAGGAATATGAGTTTCTTGAATTGGGATCATGTTTCTTTGTGTGTCTTGTTCTTCATTCTCTCTCGATGTTTTATAGTAAATTCTGCATACACAAATATCCAACTGCAAAAAAATATACAACAAATTCGTGTTACAAAAGTATCAAAATCTATTTTTGTATGGTTAAAAAGAGCCCCTAGGGTTGTCGAGTACAAAAAAAACTGGAACTATTGATTAAAAGCTCTAGTATGTTTCAAGTCATTCCAAACAACAATAACATATATGAACCAGTGATTACTGAAAAGTGATAATTTAAAAAAAAAAAAAAAAAACCCTAGGGTCATCAAGGGTTTCAAGTAATTATCCCCAAACAACGATAATATATGAACATAATTAATTAATAAAAGATACGAATTTTTTACGTACCATCTTGTCATCTCGATTCGCGTTTGTAGAAGAACATGCGACATCCGACATGTGATGAATTGTAAACTCGTGCATTATCCAGTTAGTCTTTGTTCCATTATTATTCTTAGGTTTTCCTTCATAATAGACAAGCACCTTTTTCCGTCCAACTTCTTGGCCAGGGGCGGAGCTACATGGAGTCCAGTGCAGGCCAATGCCCGCACTGGACTTTGGGCATGACACAGGAAGCTCCTGTGTGCCTGCACTGGACCAAGAGGAGGAGGAGAAAAGGGAAGAAAGAAGGGAGAAAAAGTCTGCTTGCTGGACCAAGAAGGGAAGAAGAAGAGGGAAGAAAGAAGAAGAGAAAGTGTTCTGCTGTTCTGTTCTGCTATCAATTTTATTCCTGCAAGTAGAGTAGCTTCAATTTAGTTTCGTCCTTCTGCTAATCTGTTCTTGCTGGTTCTGATTTCATATGGTTAAATTCATTTTTCTGCTGATGTTCGCTGGTTCGTTTCCTACTGGTTTTAGTTTCTGATCATTTCAGATGTGCTGTGTTTTCGTTCCCTTTAATTCCAACATGGCTGCAAGAAACGTCCTGGACCAAGAAGAGAAGAAGAAGAAGAAGAAAAAGTGTTCTAGTGAATGAAGAAAATCCATATGTATTTCTTGAACCAAAGAGCAGTTGGGACTTTTTGCAGTGAGCAATGACTGCCTCAATTGAACCCCCAATTTCTGTTGCACTGCTACTCCTCTTGAGGAAGTGAAACTCATGAAAAGCATTTGAATTAAACGAGCAAGACGAGGAAAAAGAAGAAGCACCAGATGAAGAATTAGATGAAGATGAAGATGAGCCCTTATTGTTTATTGCTCCTGAGAATGAGGACCTCCTATGTACATCATTATCCTCATGAATCCCCTCTTTCCCTATGCTCTTCATTTTAGTAGTTGTAGCTAGGCAAAAAAATCTCCGCAACTGATACCTAAATTTGTGCCCGCACTGGACAAATTTTCTGGCTCCGCCCCTGTTCTTGGCCATTGCTTCGGACAATGACTTCGGCTCTCGAGCCTTTCCAGTATCCATCAGCAGCTGCTCGGTCTGGCCGACTACCTTTAGTATATTTCTTAGTTCTAGAAGTAAAAAAGTAACCCTCTCGTGTTCCATTCATCCGGCTTTCTGATAATCATCACAGTAATAAATTCCAAAGAATGTAAATATTATTAATAACAGAGGAAGATAATATAACAAGAACCGCCAAGAAACATCAAGAAATAATGAAACTTAGAAGATAATATAACAAGAACCACCAAGAAACATCAAGAAATAATGGAACTCACGGAAAAGATCACGGGGATGGTACTTGTAGAGATCAACGTCTTTTATGGCATCAATCGATATACGGTTTTTCTTAATCTTGAGGTTCAAGTAGTACAATAGCTCCACGTCTGTCGGTTTAAATCGGTAACCGCGCGGAACATTTTCTAGGACAGAGAAATCAGAACCTTCTTGCGCGACCATGACAACTTTCTTTCCTTTATCAATTGTTCTTGGCAGTAACAGTAAAAGTACATGAAAGGGAAATGTATTGATTATGAGTATCTATAGTAGTTATGTGGACTGTAGAGAGAGAAAGAACCACAGAGTTAGGAGAGGTTTACTATTATTACAAGAACTCGTGTATAAACTTATACGCGCCGTTTATATATATAAAGACTCAGATGGAAATCAGTGAGTATAAATTGTAGGGTTTAAAGTTTCATTTTCATGCATTTATCTGATTGAATGCTAACGGTTCCGCACGTTAAATGGCATCTGTGTGTTTCTATACGTATGCGTATAAATATATATATAGACAGAATGAGGACAGAGAAAATAAAATGGGTCTTTCAAACAGTTTTACCCTTGGTCCCTGAACTTTATTTACTTCGAAAAGAAAAAAAGGAAATAGCTACATAAATTCCCACCTAGAAGCTTATAAAGTCTTTCTTACTTTTCATTTTAAGACTAGTAATTGGTCCCCCTAGAAAATAAATTGTCCATCTTAGTCCAGGAAAACAATTATTGCACAAAATAAATTTCTCTTACCAGGTCTAACCTTTTGAAAAACATCCAATTCAGTCCATTTACTTTTTTAGAAAAATAAAAATTTTCACAAAAATAAATTAATCTTTGCACCTTGAGAATCCATTAACACATTGGCAGCAGCTTCCCATGCTTTCCTTCCTTCTATATCGCTTTCTTGAGGCTGCTTCTCATTATTGTTAAGATTCGTTCGAGTTGCAAGATTAGGTTCTTCAGCTCTTTCAATTTTTTGAATAGGTGTACCCCATTTGGCCCAGAAGTCATCCAGTAACTAGATTGTAGAACCTTAATTCACATGTAAAAGACCGATAATGTGCATATTATATTCATCAAGAGCATGCCGTTAATATGCGTGAAATCGAAACATCATTTGACTTACCGAAATCTGATTTGAGAAGATAAAACAACGATTTACCGATTTCGAATGTGCATGAATCTGGAAAGAAAGCCC